AAGAAAAAATGCCTTGCTAGCTTGTCGAAAGTTGTCAAAATTTGCGTGCTTTGTTATGCTTAAAATAAATTTTGATCAAATTTAGGGAAGTAAGATATAGAAGTAACCAGTAAAATTTTTGTTGGTACTATAAGGTAAATGGCATGGGAGGCGGAGTTCCCAGGAAACAACTATTTCATATACTGTAAACCATTTATTAAATCCAGAATCTTTAAATATGCCTCAAAAATTAAAATTCTGATTGCATCTTCAAGGAGGCAGACCTCTCATGAATGGAACGTTTGTGCAAAAAAGGATAGCCTATCATTTCTTGAGAATCGGGAGGGTGAGCCAAGTGGTGGTGGAGCAAGTTGGGGTCATTATGCAAAAGCACACAGTGGGATGACAATAGAAATCCTCCGCCACACATCTCGAGCTTTTTTACACCACTTAAGACAATAACACAGTGCCTCATTGTTCAGCATCTTATTTTCTTGGAAGACAAGGAATGCCAATCTAGTCATCATTTACTCTTTCATTGGGAAAAGTCAATGTGACTCGAATGGCTAGCATAATGGAATTGGGTCTATCAACTGGTGTTACAAAAAATGGGTTTGCAAAACATTTTGGCCTAAAAACTTCCCTTGACATGTATGAATCAGTTATCCGCATGGAAGATTGATTGTACAATTGGTTTAAACTCCGGTTGAGAGACCTATTACGGGAGTGGATTGGAAAAAACCCAAATGTATTATATTGAGGAGTGAAGTTAAGACACAAGTGTGATAACAGTGATGACTCCGCACATCGGCAGTGGCTTTGATCCTATAGACTAAAAAATTTAAATCAATGGTGAAGGTCGTAGTTTGAACACAAAGTGACCTTGAAAACCACATTACTCGTTAGAGGTGGATGATGGCATAGGCATGATCAGTAAGCCCCTAGCTTGTATGCTGGTAGCACGGACTTGAGATAATGTAAACAAGCAACAGCAGGAGCAGAGCGTGATAGAAGTTGGCCAAACCACAATGGGTGGTAACTGAGGCCCTGGACAGTCATGGAAACCACCATCTGATCTTGTGTGTAATACTCACATTAAAAAAGCTACCATTTGGGGATTCCTTGCAGAGAAATGCACGGACGTGGCACATAACCAACGGCACCAATCGCCTCCTAAACAGTAGATTACACGTTCGCTTTACTTGAGTCGGATGTGGACACTGCGCCAGGTGATTTAAATACTCCTGGAAAGATCATGCCACTGTCAAAACTTCCGCACGTGATACGGATTCGTTGACAAAGCGAAGGTACAAGTAAATGGTTGGTTATTTCAGGAGATATAAGTCGCATTCATTGTTTGCTGTCATTTTTGAAATTAATTCAAAAGATTTTGGAGTTTTTTTAACCCTGGAAACACCGGTCCACGATTTTTACACATTTTTTTACTGGAAAATGGGTTATGGTTGGATTTGGTAAATCTGGCAGTGCAACCTTCTAAGAGGGTAAACAAAGGCTTAATCAAAATGATGGAGAATAAGATTATAGGGATCAAGGCTTAGTGGGGGATTTTAATATCCTCACAGCCAACCTAGAAGATTACTATAAAATATTCTAAACACGCCTTCTGCTTGAAATGTAAGAAAAGTTGCACATTTGGGGATAAAAGTAGACGGTTACTAAGATGCACTTGATTGGCATGCAATACTGATTATATGTTTAACCCTTCGTTTTGGTTACGCGGGCACTGAAGGCTCCATCACTGTTTTGCTTGGCGGCATAGCAACTAGGTCATGCCAGCAGTCTTCCAGCCCCTCTGCGTCGAAAATTCATATTCTGCCCTAGCGTTATGTTTTTTATTCGTCTTTACGAAAGACTTTGAGCGCTACATTGCTGACTGCGAAAAGTAAAGCCGATCAAAAAGGACAACCTCCCTAATTTCTATTGCTGAATGCTAATCCTTCACGTGATGGAAGAAGGAAGTATGCTGCGGATGGATGAATCTGTGACTACACCTAAGAGAAGGGTTGAAAATGACGTCCACCTTCGGCAACTGCCCCGATCCTGTGTTCTGCAGGCATGATCTTAACAACTGAAGCGATACTAGTTGTGGCAAAGTTTGTTATGGAAATGTTTACGGTATCCGAGTGAAGATGTCAGTTAAGCCAATACGCGCCACCTTCACCACATCTCTGGGAAGTACTGAAGTGGCCAAACGGGACAGACATAAAGCCTTATCCACACAAAACAATTTTAAACCCCGTCCTTTGTTAAATGGTTCTGCTTCTGAGCCAATGTTTCTACGACTAGCAGTGGACACTCGAGACTTCCAGCACATTTCCCCTTCCCTAAAGCAGTTCTCATATAGGACAGACCTCTAAATCCAGCGGAATTGCCAAGAGTGACCAAGGCATTGTAGTCGGAAATCTTAGTTGTACGCAAATTCGATGACTGGGGCGTTTGGTTCGTGGGTAATACAGCGCCGACAACGCTGATGGTTGACCAAGGGGAGCGCCGGACGACGCTTAGAAGAGGAGATGAGCTATGTAATGCTTTAAGTGTTTGTTTAACTCTTTGCTTTGGTCTCGCGGGTACTTAGGGATCTGCCTTTAACTTCTACTGGATGGAATGACCTCCGGACGGTGCCAGCAGCTCCCTCCACCAGCCTTCTGTACGTTGATAATGCATATTCTACCCTAATATTATGCCTTCACTCATCCTCAGGGAAAGATTGGGGCGCTGCAGTTGATCCTCTACTGTACGTAATAAATGCAAATTGTTTTGTAGAACTCGATTTTGACGACTTCTATTTGGTCAAATTTTTGCGATTTTGGAGAGAAAGTGATCAAATGATTGCATACAAGAACTTGAAACTTTCAGAAGGGCAACTAAGGCAGTTGGTTTTCGTCATTGGAATTACAAAGGCTGAAGCGTTCAACAGGACATACAGATGAAGTTCTGCTTCTACAATGAGTTTCAGAGCATATTTATCACTTGTATATTCAAATTCAATATAAATGTTGGCCAATTTGTTTTTAACAGCATTGTCGTGACCTTCATGCCTACATTTTTTTTTGGAAACAGAAGTTAAAGTTGGCAAAATGTTTCACTGGGGGAAGGTGGCCCATCCTGAGGGTAGGTGGGCCAGAACAGCTGCCCAAGCCGAGATTATGTTGAAGTCGAATGCATCGCAACCTATGCACAAATCCTCGGTAAGATTCACTGTGGCGGTCATTCAGATCATACTGAACTCCTTGAAAAGTTGGAGGGTAAGGCAGCTAAACAAATTTTGCTTGAATCGAACCATTGCTCCAAGGAAATTTGTCTCACTTGTCTCTCATTCGTGTGATTAAGATGTGCGGCACAATAGTAGAGTTTGAAAATCGTATCCTCAAAATTTTGTGGTTTTCGTTTGGGTGGTATTGCCAATTTTATGTGACCTGATGGGTAGATTACAACTGATGATGGGCAAAGCTACCGGATTCGCCTGACCTTTACCTCGTTCGGCCACATAACACACGAGCGATATTGCTCGACGCGGGAACCTTGGAGACCGCTGCATCCATACGATCGTGAAAACGCCCCACGAACTTCCAGAGACTTCGTCTCTCTGCACGCTGCATAGATTGCCCCTAAGGGTACAGAACTACCGTCAATGCATCATTTTGCATTTGCAATGAATGGGATCCTCTCGATAGTGTGAATCTGACGAGAGGGAGAAGCAACATTGGGCAAGTAGAGTTAGTGATGTAAAAGGACGTGGTTTGAGGAGCTATCGCAGTTGTTGAACTGCAAAGCCCTCATTACCTTTTATTGGTAATTGAAGTGTCCTTGTAATTTTCCCCCGCTGGAATCAAAAAATGGATGGTGCATCAATGTAGTTACAAGTTAAACGATAAATCTAAACAGCGACTAGCCCTTGATAAATGTTGTCACTACGCAAGAATGTGCTCAATTGACGTGATTCTTCTCCCAGATTTGAACGAAGTATCATGGGTTGGTCGCATGAATGTTTCCAAGTGGCAGAAACCTACGAAAGAGGGAATAATAAGGCTGGAACTTGATTGCGATAACCACATCTGGATGAAACGACGGTTGTACGGCTCAAGATACTACAGACACGGATAAGTCCATACAATGTAATTACTAAACGACGCGTCTCCAGCCGTATTACCATGCCTTACAGAGCAACCAACTTCACAATTTTGTTGACGAGAGAATAGGTCGTCAAAATAACGGTTGGAAGAGTAATCTTCCGGGAATTCTGAAAACATCAACCCCAAGGAGAAACGCCCTGCGATGGAACTGCAGGAAACCAACGAGGCGAAGAAGTCATAGAAGATGCTCTTGAAGTAAACCTATTCCACCCACCCCCTGCACAACTGCAATTGCTCAACTCGTTGTGTGGGTGAGAAACGGTTGGTCGAGGCTGACATCACAACTACTACAATTCCGGGTTTAACAAATGTTGATTGCACTTGGATAGCTGGTCAATCCAACCCAATCCCACAATACCCAAAGCAGTACTCCTCAAATCACAGCTCCGTAACTGACTGCATCCATGAAACTACACCAACCAACAGAGGTCTCTGAGGATCAAGTATATCTAAAATGGGGATTTACCTCTTCAGGATGCTAAACTACCAGTAATGTCTTCGACGCCTTTTGACTGAAGGCAAATAATTGCGAAAAATCGGGAAACTAGGCTCAATAAAACTAAATTACCTTACATTACTTAAGAGTACCAATAACTTTGAACCACGCAAAAAGTGTAAGTCTATAAACCCAAAAGCAGCACTCCAAATTCATCCAAAAGTTTAATCAATTTTACCGCGAAAGGTGAACGCAAAAACTGAACCGGATAAGGGGATAAAGGGGAAAGCAGAAATACGAAAAGCAACGATGACTACGGAGGGGTGATGAGTAACAGCCTACATGCAACTATAAAAAACGATGAGAATGCGAATGGTGAGTGGAGGGTCAAGCACCGATTGTATTTGCCATTAACAGTTAGACTGCCAGTCTCACTGCGAGGGCCAATCGTAGGAGTCTGGTGTGAAGTCCACGTAAGAGGGATCGTAGGTGAGACTGCGGATAAACTCCACCTTGTCCTCCGGTTCAGGGTGATATTGAGCAGTGCCGTTGGCGAACGATTTCGTCACCAACTCGACAGCAACCTTGTGTGCCACTTCGCGCAGCTTCTTCACTGGTGGATAAGTACTACCTACTGCTAGGTCCTCCTCCGTCACCATATCCGCCACCGTCTAGAACGAAACAGACTGTGGTTGATCATATCATCAAAACAACAATGCGATGGTTTAGCCTGCCAACTCACCTTAGCGGCCGCAAGGAAGAGATCTTGAGTGATAGGACGGATGAGGGCGGATGTGACAGCCATGGCAAAACCAGGGAAGACGTAGTAGTTGTTGCCCTGGCTTGGGTAGTACTTTTGGCCCGAGGGAAGTTGAATGGTGGGGAATGGAGAGCCACTCACGAAGATGCAGCGGCACTGAAACACGAAAGCATTCATTTAAAAATATTGGGCTTCAAAGCTACGTCAACTGATTTGAAAAATAGTAACTCAGTAGACAGTGACAGGAAAGAAGTGATAGGAAACGCTATGTTTATCTAGCTCCCAAAGAGGAGTAAAAAAGTGGAGAGGATATTCTCGCAATTCAATTCGTGCAAGGGAGGCACAACAAGCAAAAGGATACACAAATGAAAGGGCAGACCAGGGCAAGTAGAGGCGCCACATACCTCCGTCGATTTGAAAGCTGTCTCGGCGGTACACTCAGCCTTCTCAGTGGGGTTGCTAAGAGCAAAAATGACAGGTCTCTTATTGAAGTTCGCCATCAGGTTGAGCACCTCGCGAGTAAACGCATGGGAAACGGCGGCAGCACCTGATGAAAAACAAGTGCGTAGGTATGCGCTGCCTCAAAGACGGTATGATCCAACTCAACACCATTCAAAGTAGCTAATGTTATTGAGCGATTTGTTAGCATCCACTCATAAGTACCAGGAATACTACTTCAGTTCAAGCATAAAAAGGCTGAAAGTGTGAGTGCGTAAAAAGGGAACTTCAGGTCTTTTGTTAAATGCAGTGCATTTTGTACGCACAATATCAGCAGAATTTTGCAAAGTATTATGCCAATTTTTTACAACTTACGTGCATTAATTAGCTGAGGAAATTACCTACTCAACAACCCGCGTACTTTACTGCATGTGGCGCCGATTATTGTGGAGCTAGTAAGACATGCAGAGCCATGCCGGAAAATAAACTGCGAAATAATCTAATAACCCACCAATCAAAACAGTTGGCTTGATTTGAGTAACGGCGTTGGTTAAACGATCCACAGGTCCAGAATCGTCACGAACGAAGGGAAGCTTGTGTGGCTCCGCCACTCCCTCAGGACGGCTCTGTTGCAAATGATGATGGTTATTTGATCAGTTTTGCATGTTCACAAGTAAACGTGACACTGGACTCACATCCGGATAAACAAGGTGCCAATATGTAAAAAAGCGTCTACGATGTCTGATGAGGCTCTAAGGCGAGTCTACATAAACATCAAGTATCTTACGCGTGAGATACACGAATAGTGCTAACACCGTGTTGAGACGACTTGCTTATTTACGGAGTGAACTAGAATGTCATTTTACAAATATCTAAGTTAACCTTGACGAGGAGTCCCTTGGAGTCCATCATATAGATGCGTGAATGAGCCTGCGCCTCCGACGCTCCCTCATCCTTCATCGCAGAAATGAGAATGTTGGCAATGCCAGTGGCAGCCTATTGGTAAAGAAATGCAGGTTACGCATTGTTAAGCTACTAATTATTTGCTAGTAGAATATGTTATTGTGAGAACCAGATAAACCTAGTCAAACTTACGCTTCCAGCTCCGTAAAAGAGGAACTTGTTGTCAATCAGACGTGTCTTAGTGATGCGTGTGGCAGAGATGAGGCCAGCCAAGGCAACAGCAGCGGCACCTTGGAAGTTTAAGGCAGAAAAACTAGCCCATTAACTGCGAGATATTGATATTCATACACGGATTAGCTACCGCACAACAGAAAATACAACATCAACCTAGGATACGAAAACGAAAGCAAGCTAGGACTTTGGCAAATATTTGGTAAAAGAGAAGTTGACCAAATTTTAGTGAAAAAAATGAAAGACTAAGGAGCATCTGAGAGCAAATTTACGAAATATGCCAATCAACACTAACAGAACTGATGAAGCCCTCATTTGCCGTGCAAGCCTATTCTCCAATGACCCCAGGAAGCTTGCTTACCAGAAGCACACAGATTTTGCTATCACGCTTCACGTAATAACCATTAACAACACACTTGCGACTACACCGTCCATCGACATGCAAAGGACCGTTTACAGTGCAAGTCGGCTTATACTCTTCTGAAAAATTCACTAACCATGAACGACCCTTGGCTATTTGAAGCTCAGCCCACAACGATGAGTCAACATAGACACGAAAAGGGACAATGCGCGTCCGAGTCCTGACTTCATTTAAGGCCCCACAGCTATCGAGGCCACCAACAACGCTGGTATGACGGGAAGCGAAACATTCGAACTCCAAACAAGAATCTAAATCACATACACAGAGAGTGCATGCTAATACCTGTTTAAAATAAATGCTAAATCCGAAAACAATTAGAAACGGAACATGGGGAAGAGCGCCCACGTGCGATCAGTGATCACAAGCGCGGTTGTTTGGGGAAGGACAATCCAGACACAAAGCTAAATAACAAACCTGGCGTTTTTACATTCGAAGAAAGGCGAAGGAAAAAAAAGAAAGCGGTAAGCAAAGCAATTAACAAATGAATGCGAGGAATGAAAGCGCAAAAGTAACGCAACAAATGCACTCCACAACAGCGAACGATCATGCTTTTCTTTAGGTTGTACGACACCCTCTCCGCATTGTTGATAAATTAGTAGCTTAACAGGCGGCAAAACTCAAAACCGCAGTAGACTGTTTTACATCACGTAAAATGAAATATGAAAGCGGTGAAATAACTTCCAAAACTGGAACAAGAAGGTAAACAATAAATGGCCGATCGAAATCGAAGGGAGCTGGAGTAAAATACAACTACCTTGGATGTCATCATTGAACACAATGTAGTTCTTTCCATAGCGCTCTAAGAAGGCGAAACTGTTCTTGTTTGCCATATCCTCGAACTGCACCGAAACATTGGGACCGTACCTGAAAAAAATACACAATGAAGTAAACATTCATGTTCAAGCATTTGAGAGCGCCCACTGCGTAAATAACGAGGAGTTCATAAAAACATTTAAACAGAACGTGTTAACAACCCTGTCCGGTACGTTTTGGAATAATAACAGGGCCTGACTATTTAGCGAACTTGCGACCTAAATTTGCGTTGAACCAACAAAGCTTTACCCCGACTTGCCCTGATCGAATAATCCGCTTCACTAAACGCTAATTTGTATGCACTGAGGATTCAACACTAACTCGTTTCAAAAACAGTAGAATAACATTCTAAAATGATAGTGATACAGCCCCAAACTACACCAACCTATAGTGCAAAACAATAGCTTATTTTGCAACGCAAAATGATAGGAGAAGGTCAGAAAGCAGTTGGGCATCCCTTTGACAGGTCCCCGCATTCAACTTTCCGACACTTCGCGTATTGAACAGGAATTCCGCCAACAAAATGGAGAATGATGTGCTTTTCTTTTGCATGGACTAATGCGAATCGCCAAGCGCTTTCAGTGCAAACGGTGTTCGTGTAAATAAACACAACCACGGTATGAGACATGAAAATATAAGACAACAGGAAAGCAATGCACACCAACTTACAGATCAACGAGTGACTCCAACACCTCATCCATCAACTCATAGTACTGGTCTGTGGGAATACGCTTTTGACGCAGACCCAAGTAGAACTCATTCTAGGAGAAAGAGAGATATTGCAACAGCCATGAATTCTCAGTTAGCAGCGAGTTCCCGAGCAAATTACTCACATTCAATAGGTCCTCATTATTGGTACCAATGTCAATCATTAGAGGAAGGCAGGCACGTGGATCGACGCCGCCGAGAGCTGTGTAAAGGGCGCACTTGCCAATTGGAATGCCCATGCCCTGAGCGCCCAAATCACCAAGACCTAGAATCCGCTCACCATCTGTCACAACTACGGCTTTCACACGCTTCTCCGGCCAGTTGCGGAGGATGCTGCGAACGTGACCCTTGTCGTTGCTCGTGATGTAGAGACCCCTTGAAAACAAACAGATGCGAGGTGCGGGACGGTTACCCTTAAATCTGCACGTGTCCAAAGTGAGGTGAAAATAAGGACACGAACGGCCTTTTAAGGAATTGAAATAAAACTACCTCAATTGGGAACATTAATTAACTGGCTGAAACTGCTGTGGTTTATGTGATCGTATGGGCTTGGGTATTAATTTAACCCAAACGGACATGTCAGTGTATCAATGGAAGAGTGGATAGATTGCTTTTGTGCACACCTTGATTTGGAACCAAAGGGCCAGATGCCCCTATAACTACCACAGAACCGGGATCATGCAATTTGTGCTACTTCAACTATCACAGGATGTGTATCTCCGTTTGCATGCTATCTTGGCAGCAACCCACACTTATGGACGGATGGTCGGAGGATACCTTATGATGAGATGGATAACGCAAAAGTGCTATCGATGACTACATACCTCGGTCTTCGCAGAATCATACCGTAGTTCAAACAAGCTTTCCCAACCGTAGGCGTGTAGATGAGAGGAAGGAGGTATTCGAGGTTACTAGTTACCACCTACAAGTTAAGCTGAACAACGAAACGTGGAAGCAAACTTTGTAAAAAAGCTTTTCGTTACGGTCTTGAAGGGACATAAGGGTATTGTAACGACCCAGATCATCATCTAGGGCGTACAAATTCGTTAAAACGCTCTGGACCTGCTCCTTCTGAGTCAACACCGCAGGTGGTAAAAGACCATGAAGACCCAAAACTTGACGCTCTCTGTGGGAATACGCAGCACCCTAAAAGGAAATTTAGGAAATAACCAGGAATTAGTTGGATGAGTGTCAGCAACAGGCGCAAGTTTTTTGGTACACAATCACTTATGTGAATCCGCGCCAGTCTTGTACGCCCACGAAGATTTAATATCGCGATTACCATCAGCTATTCTACCAATGATTTCAAACGCCGTAGTAGTAGTACCAGCATCCTCACCAAAAAGGCGGGTAAATTTCCAAGCTGATACAGTGGTATTTGCATTCAAAGTGTGAAAATTCGACAAAAAAAATACAAATGTTAGCGATCATCTATGACCGAGATACTTGCTGTAACAATATATAGGTACGGTCTGCGTGAGAAGGCCCGATGATGAATGGTAAAACAGCCTGATTTAAAGACAGCAATCGAAATTTCCTGCATGTACTAACAGCCATTATATTCGGTAAATCAATTCAGGAGGGAATGGGACACTTTAGTCTTGGGGCAAATGCAAAAATTCATTCAAAGCCTAATAGGTAAAAGCGATATCGCGATTCGAAAAACTAACCCGCCCTCGAAAAAGCCATCTTACACGTTGACAACAAAATTTGACAACGTAGCAACCAAACCGTACACATACACTTGTTCCCACATTTCTATAAGCACCGAAGACCTCTAAGGTTCAAGAATGCACCCGGAAATTTGACAGTGGCCCCTGCGCATTGAACAAATGCCAATGAAACAATGCAAATATTCAGTATACTCACGAAAATGCTTGGGATTACTTAGTCTAATCGGCGAAACGAAAAAGTGCCTAACTGATAAGCAAAATTTGCGGGAAAAAGAGAGTTGCTGACATAAATGCAATAGAATAACGTCTAAAATGCAAAATGTTCAAGTACTGGTTATAAATACCACTTTTGGGCACAGTATTTCTGAGACCTCATTACAAATACGCCCCAGAAGCGTCAAGTATTTAATGCAAAACGTCAACTGTCTTAGCCTTTCCAGCAATATTCCGCAAAATACGGAAGTCGAAATGCGATCTGATATAGGCGTTATTTCGCTGAGGACGCGATAAAAAGAAGCAGTGCAGTGCAACTTTATCAGCCACTAGAAACTCACACAAAGTGACAGTGCAAGTTTAAGCCCCAGCACTTCTTTGCAAATATAACCGGTCATAGAGTAAACCGACGTTTTTAACATATTAACAAAAACTAGATTCGTAACTGAATAGACTTACGAGACAAATTTGGGTCCCAATCCTACAACAAAACCGAACTCACCTTATTAGTACCTGGATCTCTCAAAATCTCTATCCCTCTGTTACGAAGACGGGGAAGCTGTTTCGTCAGACCCTGGACAAACTTACCAGACATGCTCGCAGTGGGTTCGAAAATCCAGTAAAGATTGAGAAACAAACTTGGTTGACTTAAACAAAATCAAATTTAAAACGACACATTTTCTGCGCCACGTAATAGCGTTAAAATATTACTATCTTTAAGCAAAAATTTTGCGTAAATAAAAGTAATAGATAAGTTGTTTGAAGTTATTTCATTTCCAAACAAACAAAGGCAGTGGACAGAGCTTACAGAAGGCCAAAGCGATTTAATGACAAGCAAACCCCTCTGATAAAATGTTTACTTTGAAGAAGCGTGCAGCCAAGCAGCAAGATAAAATATGATTTGAAACCCAACTATCCGTAAGCAAAGTTGGCATTCCATAGCCGCCTGCCTTAAAAGCTTAATGCTACCGACTGCAGAAATTTTATCATTGACTCCTACTATATTTATTTTATTAAAATACATAGCTCATATGCTGTGTAGGACCCACTAACTTGGGTATCTTACGGAAGCCCCGCAAAACACTTGTGCGTAGATGGCAACTGATCGGCGAATACAGAATTGGTGTACATCTTGTTCGGGATCTCCATTAATGCCTTTAGGAAGGGAATGGTTTAGAGTCATTACTGTAGAACCTACTTCCATTGCACATAAGCCTGACAAACGTTCCCTAAATATCAGACCATCAGTAAGATTTGCTCACCGCTTGTTTGAAACTCTTTTGATTCTACCCACACTTTTAGCATTTCCCCCAATTTTTTAATCACCACGCCGGCTGCAGTTATAATACTGTTGCACATCTACGATCTCGCATTGTGGATAAAAGCCATCAAACCTGCACGAAATAAGGCGTGGATTTACAGCTATTAGGGGCCCACTGAAACTACGCTCTAGAATTCCCCAGCCCAGAATACCACCATGTCATTGGCGTGTCTAGCCCAGCTGCCCACCCCAACTCTTTCTGCAGAGTTCCAAGAGGACGACAACCCCTATCTACTAAAAAAAGTTATAAATCAGTCAATCACCTACGGGAAGGAACGAGTCCACAACTGCCTTGACACCCTCTCCTTGTCCAAAAATCGTCCCATCCACTTTAGGACCTCAGTTTGTTTTGCTAATCTTGGGCAAACTTAACAACCCCTCGCATCGACAGCCTACCAAGCGGAGCCCCACGGGACGCTGAGGTCGGATCACAATGTTTTCCGCGAAGGATTTCTTTTTAAGAGCTATTCCCCTCGCTGGAAGTATTATCCTTACAGGTTACTGCGTTGCATTAAGTCGAGAATATGTGCGCCGTCAAAAAGAGAGAGTCAGCTATGTAGAGAGCGTGGATGAGGCCCAACTATATAGCTTCATGTCGAAAAAAGGGAAAAGATTTGACGTCAACAACTGGGAGAACAAGCGTGTCTATAGGGAATGGGAGGACCCATCGAAGAAAGGGTGAAGAGCACCGCCGCACTCTAATGCTTTTATACTCTTGATTCCTCTACTGCGTAATAAAACCTGACCCACTAAATGCGGTAAAGGCTTTTTCTTTGACCGCTCAAGTGTATTAATTGTGGCTCGGGGTGGGAAGAGAAACCATGATTCTACGTGAGCTTATGCGCTATATTAGAAAAATTGTTGAAATTTACAGCCCATGGATTAGCAATCATCGGAGCGTAGAAACTCTCTGTACTCCTCTTCTGTCATTAGATCGTCCAACTCATCAGAGGAATCGGGTTTCACCTTCAGAAGCCAACCTGAAATTGCCAAATTACCAGTTGTGTGATAGGTGAAAGGTAGGCACTGGCTATCAGTTCCTCTCTAGACACGCTGTGTACGCGTAGATTGCTGCGTTTTGTGGGTATACTTGGGATAAGGCTCCGAAAATTCAACCAAACGGTTTGCCCAATGTGACCTACCATCCTTTTCAGGTGATTTGTTTAGGAGGGATGGTTTGTCTCTGATAGCTTCATTTATTTCCTCGACAGTCCCGCTGATCGGTGCAAAAAGTTCCGAGGTAGCTTTGCTAGATTCGGCATTACCGAAGGTTTCTAAGATAAGCAGCGACTGAAAGACTCACTTACCACCTTTTCGCAGTTTGGTTCCGGGATCGGGGAGGTCGACGAAGACTACATCACCAATGGTATCAGTGGCAAACTTGGACAAGCCGACAGTGTATGTACCACTATCTGGACGGATCCATTCATGTGTCTTTGCGTATCTTAAACCTAAATGAAGGATAAAACTATACATTCGCAGTGCGTAATGGCGATCAATTGACGGCACGGCACCGTATAAGATTTGAGCGGCGGCCAAATACACGTTTTGAAGGCAACAGATGGGCTGAAGGGCTGCAAGTACTCATGCATGAATCTAGATGTCAGTGGACCATTTCTAAAACCTGTAGACGTAGAAACTGAGATTTCACGCTCTAGCAGGGAGGTGCAGCACAGACCGAAAACAAACACGCTTAGAACCAACTAAGGAATGATGCTTAATTTTTAAAGGCAAAAGGATAAGCTGAAATAACCACCTATGACATTTATAAGGAATCCAACATTTGAAGTTTGTTTACATACTGCTTAGGGATCTTGCTTGAAGAGTAGACAGAGTTTTTGTGCGGAGTAGCAGTGGGACTTGACGAATCCATGCCAAACGAGGTAAGAAGCCCACAAACACCATTGACACGAACACCAAACTGAACGTTTGGGCTTTATGCGTCCGATAATGGCCGTAAACCAATAAAATGGTAATAAAGGAATCAAAAGCATTACAAACCGTAACGTTCAAATCCTTGTGCAAAGTCATTTGTTCTCTAAAGCGATTGGGTGTTGGTTTTATTAAATAGCATCGTTTGAAGATTTCGGATTTCTTTAATGAACTTATAACTACGACCTTGTCCTTGAAGTTGGGCTTTCTCTTCGTCCGAATTGGCTGTTGGAGTGGTGTGTGGGTCTTGTTCAAGTTGGTGTCGACAATGAATTCTCGTTACAACGATCTATCTCTTTGTGCCTCTGGGATCGGTTGTAGGGTCGTTCGTGGACCAGACTGGAAGTGGGGAAATCAAGTAAAGCATTTACTACCCATTTAAGCACTACTGTAGCACTATTATTTTACACTCTTTGAATTTGGCGATTTGGTTGTAGAAGTATTTTGGGGTTTAGCTTGCGGTCTTACTTTTGAACTGTCTTCACCGAATTTCGTTTGTTTTTTTTGTCTTTTAACACGATGCACCAACTGACTCGCCTAAACAAATGCTATTTACCCGTCAAAACTATGTTTCAGGAGATTTTAGAATGTACAAAGCTTCCTAAAATGTTTTCCACCGGCGTCATCGGCTGTGTTATCATCCAGATAAAATGAAATTTTTTTAGGATGGCGGTAATGGTCATGTTGGTTCTCTTCGTCGTTTCGAAGCCCGCGGGGAGGCCGTTGTGTTATGGGACTCTGGCATAGTAGCCAACTACCGTTGCGGTGCCCTCGGTTTCGATTTGCGCGTGCTGGACAGCTCACCCACGGGTAGGCGTCACTTGGACACGATTTGTGAGAGCTGCAACGAATCCCCAATATATGGCATACGCTGGAAATGTATGCTCTGTCTCAATGTCGACCTCTGCTCTTCCTGCTACCATGGTGATAAACACTGCCTCAGTCATCCCTTTCTCAGAATTACTACACCGCACGGTGTTCGGTAAGTTATTTCCCTTCTAGTCATTTTGCCAGTGCTTGTGCACACTTTAAACTCGTTGACACCTAATTTTATAGAGTCGCAGTGGGACGCCGCTCAAAAGCCCAAAAGACCGATGCGGTTGGTCTTTTTCCACGAGCCCGCGTGGTACGCGGTTTCGATTGGCGCTGGGGCACTCAGGACTGTGCCACTGTGATACCCGCTTCTGCTTCTACTGCGGGTAACGTGGGCACCGCTCTGACTAACGCTCTGGTGCCGCAGACCTCCCCTGGTGCTTCTGCCGCCTCACCGCTGGCCACCTGTGAGAGTGCCACTCCCTGCCAGGGTCGAATTATCGATCGACGCGACTGGTTCCAGTGGGCACCCAAATCTGCTGTCTCCGTCGCTTGGGACTCTGGTGCCTACAATGTTTACCGTGTTGGCTACATGGGAATGGTCGATCTCAAGGCTGTTCGACCCGCCAAAGGTTTGATTACTTAAATTTATTATGCTCCTCTATGTGAATTGTTCAATACATGCCTTCTTCTATCAATTCCGGGCTACTTTTCGGGTTGTTGCTCATCCTATCCCTTCGATATTTATGTTTTATTTATAGCTTCATCCTCATTTAATAGCCTTTCCATGTTGTCTGTATAAGTTCAAGGAATGATATTCCCTAGTCAGCGTTTGGGTAACGATAGACCTAGAGCTTGAAGTCCAAATTGATGATCGTTTTGTACAAATTGTTCAAGTTAATGTATGAAGTTTTAAATCTCTTTTTTCTCACTCCTAGTAGAACTTTCTCCAGTAGGGGCGGTGTCTTATTATTCCAAATTACTAGTAAAATATAGCTACTAAACGATCATTTACACGCCCCTCTAACTCATAATTTCCTTCCATTGTGCTGCCATCTCTATTGGGTAGATGAGGTAAGCAATTGATATTCTGCACCCTACATTTTATTGGCTATGGGCCTTGAACTTGAGGCGTGTAGTAGTGACTGCTTATGCGTGAACAAACTTGGTTGGGCGTAATTACAATCGACTTCTGTCCTCGTGGTACTTTACATAGATAGGCCTATCGGATCCCTTAATGTTGTTTTGTTTGACCTTAGTTGAGTGTTATCTCCGATTAAATTGTAAATCCTTAATGTGCTTTTACTACCTTGTACTTGCAGCAATTGTAATTCTATGGTTAACTACTTCAAATTTTCGGATCTTGGCTGTCATTAATGATCTCTTGCTTTCGCTTACCTATTTAGTCCTTTCCATTTAATTCTCGTTGCTACTCTTCTTATAGTTTCAGATAACAAAATCCTCGGGGTACGTTTTACATGTTAGCTGTGCCATTGCAAGGCTTCCCATTGTTACACATCTTTTTTCTCCCTTTAATGAATTATAATCGCACGCATCTGCTATCCCACTTACCAGACCAATTTTAGACCAAGTTGACATCCTTATCGTGAAACCACTCCCTTTATTTATGCTACTTAAACTTTTCTGTTTTCCAAACAAATTGATTGGCGACAGCGCTAATTAGCTTGTCAATTCTAACTTGCAAACTGTTTATGTAAGGCACGGGTGCGTGTTTTGTTTCTAGGAGGTTCATACTACGCTGAGCATCTTCCTCTTCTCGGCGACCTTCGAGATCTCCCTTCTCAATTGGAAACCGATTCTTCCACTTCCGTTATTGCTATACCCTCGCAGCTGCAGCCACCACCGTCCCAACCGATCGAAAACATCGTCTGGACGGCGGCTCCGCGCACTCGTAGTCAAATTGCAGCCTCATCTTCGACGGGGGTTGCCGAGGTCTATGAGGAGTCAGTGGTCATCGATCCGGGAGACAGAATTCCTCTAACTGACGCGGAAAGTGGGGCTCGACCCAGTTCAGTACCTACTCAGCGCCCCAGGGGTGGTGCTGGCGGTGGAGCTGGGTCGTCGCGGACGCTTCTGGCAGACCTCTTCTGTGCTGGTGGCGGTAGTGGCTCCGCTCCCTCTGAGGATGGCAGCGCGGTTACTCTAGGAAGCAGTTCGCCACTCGCCGCCTCGTCTCGTCCCTCACCTGCCAGTAGGAGCAGGCAGACGGTGCTACCGGGGCCTTGTCGATCGACTACGCTTCGTTTGCGACCTGGAGCTGTTATTCAACTGCGCCTACGATCGATGGTGAATGAAAACGCGGTGGCTGCGGCAACTTCTTCTGGCTCGGAAGTTCGTTAAAGAAGTTCTTGGTTGCGATTGTTGTTAAAGTATACCTACATTTAAGCTATTTATAGTTTTGTAAATGGTATACTACTGAGAAAGATGTGTTTAGTAAATCTTGTCTCGTTTCCGATTTAAACGAGTTTAAATTTTATTGCCGTTTAGTCTCATTTACTACTGACCATTCATATATTCCGCATTTTCAGCATAATTTACATATTTCCTCTGGATTTATTTAGATGCCACAGTTCAGAGTACTTTCAGTGGCTTCACCTCTTAGAACACCTACCTATTTTTCCTTTTTTCTATGCTCTATAACAACTTCTACTGGATTCATTGTTCTTGTCACTTATAACATTAATTCAACTCAATTAAACAACTTTTCACATTAACTATGCTTTCTTGTGATTTTGTAGTTAATCGGTGTCACCCTCTGAATGAAGTTGATAGCAAAAGAGTTTGTTGCTTTCTTAGCATGGTAACACTTACTAATACATGCAGAACTCCGTCTCGTTCCTTACCTTTTCGATGTTCCGATGTGTTAAAAGCGAATAGCGGGGCATGACTCAAACTTACATGAATTGTGCTTCCAAAGTAAGTAAAAGCATAGCAATGTGTGGAAAAGAATGGTATCTTCTGTAAACCCCGTCTTTGGAACAGTTTGGTTTTCTGCCTCAACTTTTAAAGAAATTGTTTACGCATCGGTATTTTTTTCGCCTTCTTCCACGCGTTTTCCCATACCAGCATCAGTGTTGCCGTTTTCAATATTTGTGGGTAAGCTTTAGCGATAGCAACTTCAACTTCTGGGAGTAATCTTATTAGAGCCACTTTTACTGAACTCTTTTTCATTAGGTTATAAATAGGTAATGTCCACTCTCTCGAAGCATCCTACTATCGCACAAAAATACTCATTTTTGTCATGTGAATGTGTGTCTTCGGTAGTTCGTCTGGCAGTTAGCATTTAGCCCTGATTCTTCCATATCTCAGACTATAATCCTCAATTTCGCATCAAGGCTTGTTTCAAATCATTTGTTATTGTCTCCACAATTTTTAATCATAGACATTCAAAAAGTCGCATAATTGTTATGCTCACTTCTCCAACCAGTGATATCCCTATTACTCCCTATTCCCGAGGTCTCACAGCTAAGTGTCCTCTTTTAAAACACCAAGAGTTTTTTATAAAATTATGCTTCAAAAAATGTCACCTTTAAGTAGCTGTACCTATTGGCCAAACACAAATTTAAGTGTGTGTTTTAGCTCATTTTCTGGTCTGTGGCGCTCGTATTCCTCCTAGTTAATAAGTTGTACGCGTCTGGACTTAATTTTATTAAATTGAACGGAAAGGTATGTAAGGTAATAACGAAAATTGCGACTACGGAATGCCATGCCTTGAAAATGGTGGTCGAAATCTGTGGATACCGAAGTGCCCACGTTGGTAATTGTACAATTAATCCTCTGCGTTGTCACTTTTCTGCGTCGGCCATCACAATGTAATCGGTGCCTTGAAAAACATGCATGAACCATGTACAAAGTTCATGTGGCGAGAACTTAACGCATGAATCTCGTACCCCAGGTCGCCGATTCTGATGGAATGAGAGTTATGCTTTCTTTATGGGCTACATTGTAGGACTTCATTGGTGTTGCGGTACAGCAAGTGTATTTCATATGCTTGTCGCAACTCCTAAGAACTTGCCTAAAAGGCGAGTTGCTTGGCAAAATACATAAAATAGCTTCGCAAACCTTGTGTTTAATATTTATTCCTCTTGCCACCTTTTTGTTTTTTTCTAGGCTGTTGAGCCGTCTAACCGAACTCCATTCCTCCACGCGGAGCGTGGCATGACTATCTCTGCTTTGCTCACACACCATAACTACACCGTAGGCAGGTTCATAATGGACTTTTCAGACCGTTCAAATTTAGTGTTGTTTTAACTTTTAATTGCCCTGTCACAGAAATCGAGACCAGGGTGAATGCCAAAAGCGGACGTGACCTCTATAACCCACAGGTTAGGCCATCCACAGCACAGGTTTACCTTCCGTGACGTTTCAGTTTGAAACTCATCAAATAAAATTAGGGTTGTTGCAGGTTGGAAGTCCTTCTTAGAGGTGGAACCCTCTCTGTAGATACGCAGAGGGGCAGATTGGCTGTAAGCGAAAATATTGTAACCAGAATATCGTGCCACCAAGATGGAGGCTAGAGATGTCGCGTGGCTAAATGTACCATTGAAAACATAGTTTTGCTACGGTGCTAACTTGGTTTGTCCTATTTTATGCTGCATCATGTGAAACGCCATGCTGTTCTATTTTTTTGTCTTTGCTGCCTATCCTTTTCCCTGTAGTACCTCTCACTCCCCAGCGTGGTTGAGCGCGTGGACGACGCGACAGGATCGGTTGTTCTCCTTATCCCCCAGACAGGACAGCGTTTCACTCTCACCAGCTCTGCTACCGCCACTTGTCAGCAGCAGTGGCAGGGACGAAGCGAAGAACGACTGCCCTCTCGTCACGTCTCTGCCAATTCCAATCTCATCACACGCATGCGACGTCGCGATTCCTACGCTCGTGCAGCTGCTGCTGCCTCTGCCTCCACTTCCACGTCTGCCGTTACCGTTGGGGAAACTGGTCTCGTGGATGGTCAACAACCGCCTGAGACGTCACAGCCATCCCAATCACAATCGCAGGAAACTCATGGTGATTTACCTACGCCAGTACCGTTACTTATTTATTTTTCAGGAGGTAGTTAATTCTCCTTTATTCGGCTTAAGAGTCTATGCCACGCAGTCTGTTGAAGCAGTCGAGCAAACAAGTAGCGGAAGAGCTCATGTTTGCAGCCGCTGAGGGTAATGTCAAAAAGATTACTTGGCTCATCAAGCACCGTGACATTGACGTACGTATTTGACTCTTATGAACTTTATCGCTCTCATTGTTGGTCATGCCTACATTATTCAGTGACACTTTTTGTTCTTCCAACACTTTTATCTATCCACTTTGTATGGTCTTTTATTTCTAAAAACAAGGTGATTCGATCAAATTCTTAGTTGATGCGATCCCATCTTAACTTTCTGGTAGGTATGAGGATATGCCTCTGTTCAAACTTCGTCGGTCCTTATAAACTTACCATTATCTGCCCTTGTCTCAATCAATTCGCTCCAGACCTTGAATAGCTAATTTAAGGCAGAACCATTTTGAGGTATTTGTTTGCAAGTTTTCTTCCTTTCTCTTCCCTCCTCCCCTGTGTAGATAAACACGCACTATGCGGGGGCCACCGCCCTCCACGTGGCCTGCCAGTCGGGTCACCTGAACTGCGTGGATGTGTTGTTGCAGCATGGTGCAGACTGTCGGGAGCGCGATGCCGACGGTAATCAGGCGCTGCATGCAGCGGCTCAGGGCGGTGCGCTGCCCGTGCTGCGTCGCATCGCGGCTACTCTAAGTCTAATAGAGCGCGAGCCTCATCCCTTCACCTCGAGCACCGAGGTTTCGCTACCACCGGACGTGAACGCACGTAACGCGCTTCGTCAAACACCACTCCATCTTGCCACTGTCGGTAGACATCTGGAGTGTGTCAGGTCGCTGCTGGAGGAGTTCAATGCTATCCCTAGCCTTCAGGTGTGTTTCTTTGGGATGGGCTGAGGCAAATGAGAACCATTGTGATCGCAACTCTATATACCATATGAGTTTGTTCCCTTCAATTGAGGGAGTTAATGCTCCTCACGGTCTACGTAAGCATTATGCGTTCACCTTGTCACCAGCACGACGGGAATTCTCAATGTTGGGTGATTAGTAGATGATAAACTCAAAGAAGTCCCCATTTGTTGATATTTAAATTTGAGAAGGGTATGTAGTGGAAGACAAACCATTGAACAATGTGCGTGTACAGATAGATAAGCACAATGAAGTTACAAACTCTCGCTTGTGTTTTGTAAAGGACTGGCGAGAGTTATTATCCTACTTTATAAATATAGTGAAAGCAGGTGGCACCGTTGCTCAGGAGGACACCAACTGTTTATCACCTTGATGTAGATACTGACGCTTACAATGCTATTGTGTATTTTTTTCTCCTTGTTTTAAAGCAAAACGCTTTATAAATTACCATTTTTAAATGCACAATTTGAGGAAGCAGTAGTCTTTACTCCTTTCAAAAGAATAACCTGACAAGCCTTGGTGACCATAGGGATAATTTGCATGAATCTGGCCTGGCGAAGATCGGTCTTATTTTTGTGCTAATTTTTCACTCATGACATCACTGTTACCATGTAACAAAGGGTTTCATCTCTGCCATCAAAACTTGTAAAGGTGGTTCCGAAGTGGCATTTTAGGACTTCAAAACGAAGAATGTGCGGATGTAATTACGTCGAATTATCTAATTTCCCTTTTTTCCCCGTTGTCTATCGTATGAAGAGTGTGTAACGGTAAGTAAAAAAACTTTTTCAGCGCTCTGAGCTATTTTCAAATGGACCTGTTGGTTCTTTCTTCCAAATCATTGGATATTAAAGTAGTTGGAGTTGTCTTCAGGCTAATTTTACCGAGTTTGCATGTGTGCACAAATGGATGAATCGAAATGCACCGGCAATCCTTCATAGTGTTTGGCATTTTTAATTCAAACACAGGGCATGCCTCAATTTCGGTGGCCCCTTTGTCCAGAGCCTAGGCTACCTTACATTAAAAAATAGCATAATTATTTATTCAACAATGATTTTACCTACTTTTTCCATTTTTGCAATCTTTTTGGCAAGTAAAAAGTTAAACTTTGAGGAAGCTGAAAGTGCGATTTTTCTCCATCCGTTAATGCCATCTGATGGCCTGGCCTTCCCAGCAGGCCTAAGGTATGAATTGGCTAGACAGCATTATTTCAGGCAGAGTACACTTTCGGAATAGGATTTATGTGTGGCTCTATTGCCGGATTTTAATGCTTACTGTAAACGTTTTTTCACAAATAGAACTTTTAATTGAGTGTGCATTTGACAAATTTAGCTCTTATAATGACGTGATAATTTATTATCTCATGGTACATTTCAAATCGCATTTGTTAAAGAACCACTTTTGAGTGCGTGCGTTTGATTCTTGTCTCTCGTATTACGTTATTTTACGACGCTAGTGACCGTGTAATGAAGGCTGCTTTTGATCACTTTTACTTGCTTATCTGTAAAACCCACAGATTTATTGAATGTATGCATTTACTGCATTTATCCATGCATTTTCGAGAATTCCAGATTGTTTTTTTTTTGCGTCTTACCCTTCCCAATTCCAAAATAAGCAGTCAACCACCAAACTCGATATTTTCTATCATGGGCCTCAACGTTCTACTGAAATGTGTTAAGTAGAGTATGTTGCTTACCATTGTAATGCTTTGGAGTTTTAAAAGCGTCTTACCAGAAGCGTTTCGTTATTATGGCTTTGTGCTGGCTATGTCCGGTCTTAGCCTACACGTACAAAACCCCTTTTGCCCTTAGGATTTAGCTTCCGGTTGAAGGACGGATTTATACTGATCTCCGTAACTCCCTGGGCGTTAACCTTTGGCATTGTCTGCACAAACAAAAGTATGACTACTTCTCCCTAATTAGCGTTTTTAGAATAAGTAAAATCCTACTGATAAATCACTCCAAATAATGACTTTGGATTTTTTTTTACTGTCATTGTGTTTACTTTAGCGTTCGATGTAGTGAACGATCATCATACGTATTACCTCATCTCCTTTTCTTTTCCCTTACAAGAGTAAGTCACAGTGACTACAAAGTATCCTTTCGCTACTATTATCACAAAACGTCAAGTGTAAGAATGTCTCCGAGGTTAATGAACTTTAGTGTATTGTGTGAACTAGCCAAAATCATAATCAACATGAATCGAACGTCCGATTCCCGTGTTCTCCATGCCCCTTTTGCCTGAAATTGCACTTGCGGATACAGAATTTTAAAAAAGCGATTCAGTTCTATCAAAAACACGATGCATCTCCTAACATTACCCCCCAGAATGACTGCGTGGAGAGGATAAACATGAGTTAGCATCACCATGCCCGAAAGACGGGAGTCTATGCGCCCTATTCTGTTTCCGACTTACTTCCCTTTTTTGAGGTAACACTAGCCGTGGTTTTCACTCCCTGTCTGGTGAGTCGCGTTGAGAGGCGCGCGCAGTTTGCTGTCTCAACGACGAATTTCGTAGTCTCATCTACCGATGATCGCAGTAAAATATGTTCTTCAAATATTGGTGCGTTTTTCAAACCTTTCTCGAACATCAATCTTGCAACTAGTTTCTTTTAACGGAACGCTTTTGTTGGTCTGATGGATATTATAAAGTGCCTCTGTCAATATCTGTTATCTGTGGTCAATTGGTGTTTCGGCGGTTAAATGACATCTAACAATATTTGTTATATTTCAAAGTGAGGCACTGATGTATCTCTGGGCGCTACCTGCGCGAGCACTGGAATAGTGTGGCTGGGTGGAAGTGTGCAGTGGAAGAATGAAGTCATTTTAAGGCATGACACCTCCTGACCACTTGCGTTGGCTGGTTTGCGTGTTCCCCTTTGTACTTTCCTAGTCACTTAAGGTCGCACTGCACTGTGTGACACGAGCACGCCTCAAGTTGTAACAACAGTCCACTCTATCAAAAACACTATAAATGAACTGTAGAAGCATTTCTGAGGGTAATCAAAAAAAATGTGCAAAGGTGAAATTATCGAAAAATTTAGCATTTTAGGTCTATCTATGTAGCCGTGCTTGTTTTGACATTTGTTTCTTCCTATCTCAGCACCTCACTGTACCCTTTGATTGGGATGCAGTCACGTAACATATTGGTAATTGTGTTGACCAGAAGATTGACTGAATGCTTCAGACTTTTAGCTCTCTAGTATAGCCATTTTTGTCCTCTGAGCATCCGATTTAGAGATACATATGCAGGTACGTATTCAACGGCATGCCTGTAACGTTTTAATAGGGTTCCTTCTCCTGCATAATCGGAATTTTACTCTTCCTTACAAATTTGCCACTCTCTTGGGTGAATAACCAATTTGACCATCTGGGTTCTCCCTAAATGAGTATCTTCCCTGCCTTGTGTTATCGCTTTATCCGATAGACGCGGAATATATTCTGGTAGCGGTTTGAAATGGACCTTATAAATGGTAAACAACGGGTTTAGCGGTGACTTTCCACCCAGATACAGGCAGGTGCATTAGCATTTAATGGTCGCGTCTAATTTTAGTAAGCTTCTTATTTTGATTGAAAAAAATTAAATATAGACGCCTTAATTGAACCTATTTTACCCCTGATGAGCGCCCAAGTTTGCTTTAAAGGCATTAGCCGGCATGGGAGTCGAAGATTAGCTTTATTTTAAACATACTGAAGATCTAACTATCTAGCCGTGCAGGTGACATCAGTCTGTGTAGTCACATTTACAATTAAAGCAAATATCTTTTTGTGCTAAATCACCATATGTTGGCTTGCCGTGAAGGACTTTTGTTCTTTCATGATGCGTAGTTTTGATAATGTCTTGGAATTTGGAAATTGGGTGATTGTTGTTATTCTCCAAACGACAATTTGCTTATTGTGGAGGGAGGCTACACGTCTCTTTTCTTGTAACCCCATTCTAATCATACAGTAGGCTATCCTGTTTTTGTATTTAAAAAAAAATTACGGTAATATTCGATGCTCCAGTGCATCTTTCTCAAAAAAGTTTTGTGAGGACTGTATCATTCCAGGAAATTATCGGGGTGTGATATCTCCTATCCTCATCTCAGAGGGAAAGGATAACTGCCATAGCTGTAACCAAAAATGAGGTTCCCTGTGGATACTCAAAGAGTGGCAGCTTCCGGACTCAGTCAAAGAACGTCTATTAACAGCTTAAAGTAACATTGAGCAAACTATCACAAGTAGTCAAAACACTTCATTTTGTGGTAGCTTTCACCTAAAGGCTCGTCGGAAATGTAATCAAGCCTTATCCCCACGCTTGTCCTTAGTCTATCGTTCTCACAGGGTCCGTGACCCAAACAAGCGGGCGGTTAATTGTATCCCTACCTAGTCTGAAGAAAAAGCCTTAGCAACTTAGACAGATTTTGCCTTTTTTGTTTCCATATTGATTGATAAAACACCAAGGTGTACTTTTTGTCGGCCATTAGTCTTAAAATGTCTACGAGACAGCTCTGTGTTATTGGTTGTTTTATTAAACTTCTTTAAAAGCCGCCATGCCGTCGTTTTTTGAAAAGAAATTTAAACTTGTTTTATTATGTTTATTGCTCTAAAAAAGCTAGTGCAAAGTGGAGTTTGTTGCCTTTTATCCGAATGCTTAACATTGACCGACCGGTGGGCAAATTCGTTCATATTCAATAGAAATGTAATGAATTCTGCGTATTCTTTTCGGCATTTGAGACTTTATTTCCAATTCAACTTAAAGGCAGGCTTAAGATCATAGGTTTCAAATGAATCCGAGTTTTAGATCTAGGGCTCCGACTACGATCATTGAGTAATTCATATTGTGGTTTTTTTTTGCCCGATAAATGCCAAAAAATGGAGTCAAGTGGAGTTATGGGGCCGTTAAATGCTCCAGGAAAGAATTAAATTACCGGTCAGTTTCCGTCGTAAATTCAATTCGCTCTTTAATTACCCCCTCCTCTTCTCCCTAGAGCCACACACACACACACACACACCCAAATGACAGGCTCGATTTACCGCATTAGTGGATAAGCAGATTGGCTTGTCGGGCTTTTGGGTGGCTTAATTTTTGTTGCTTTTCCCTTCCTCTCTGAAGGACTTTACTCACAAATTTATACAATTTGCTTCTCAAAGTTACAGCCACTTTTCCAGGAATCCGTTTACAAACTACGTAGCCTAATTGCCTCTGGATAGCTCTCAATTAGCAATTGTCACACCCTATTTGATCATATTAGCCGCGCCTCCTTGGTTCTTGCAAATTCATTTCCATTTAAGTAAACGCATTTTATGGGGAAATTATGGTACATTGTTACCTTTAAAACTGTGGAAACGTTTTTAAGGCTGCAAATGACAAGATGGCAAGCTCCATTCATATTCTTTGCGGTAGGTACTTCAATTTCCTTAGAATTTATCTTCCAATTGCATGATCTCTCCACTTTTAAAATGCACCGGTGTCGCAAATCGTGCATTGAGAATTGGGTTTCCTACCCCTTCTTTCAGGACTGCGGGTCGCAAAAGCGATGGTGCACCTAATAGTCTGAAGACGGTTCTTGGTTTTTACAGAGATACTGCTACCGTCATTTCCATGTTGAAACACTTCCGTAACGGATGAAATACTTATGTGGAGAAGTATAGCGCACTCAACTGATTTCAAGTGGTTTTCAACGCATGATTGAGTTACTATGTCAGTTCTCCACGCTTTAAATATTTTACGCCTTTTATTTTGCTCCTTAGTAATGCATACAATTACTTAGCTTGAAGGTAGGAGTTATGCTTTATCATTCGGGAAACCTGGCTCAACAATAACCAACTAGTCTGGCGTGTTCTTTTACAAAAATATTATCAGAAATAGGACTGTGTCATAGCTTCCGTTTCTGTCAAATTTAGGGCATTGAAGGGGCTATCGGGCTCGATCTTTTGCATTGAAAGTGACACTTATTCAGGTTTACTTTTTTCGTGTATCATGAGCTAGCATCTTCGTGCTTCAAATGGACTACAGCAAGGACCTGTATCTGATCTAACTTAAACACATCAGTTGGGGAGCTGCACCTTTCCCGAAGAAGACCTTATACGTATAATTGGAGAATGTTTGTGAATCAAATAGGTGCTTAAACTGCCACGTTCATTCTCATGGATAAGTTGTGTAGCTGGGTTGGACGTTCATAACAGCTTTCTGTTATCTGCTATTTCAAAGTGGGAAGGTCGCTTGATGCTTGCACAACACGGTGACTGCAGTGTTGCATAATGCAAAAATCCTGGTAGCTTATTCACGCACCCAACGTCAATTTTAGATCAAAAGTAGACGCAGTAAGCGTACGCTTTTACTCACCGAGTTGAAAGGTTCCAAAACGCTACATTGGCAACTAGTCCAAATTTAGTCCGTGAACCAGACGATAAATGAGGCCGTATTCAGAGAAATTTTAATTTAGGCTCTTTGATATCTGTAATGACCGGAGGAAGGAGACAATGGTGCAGTTTCCAAGCGACTGATGTTTATCTCTGGTTTATTTAGCGGAAATTCAAAAAGACTATTTCCTTTTCTCACTACTATTGTGAACAAACATAGTAATGATTTTTGTTGTCGTTGGAATGTCCATACTTTCGACCTTACAATGTTTCTGCAAAAGTAGCTTCATCCCTGTAAAAAATATCAACGCTAATTATCTATAAGTACAGCTTTAGGAGGTCTAGCGGGTGTTTCAAAACTGCTCCCTTCTAAAAATGATATACTTACTCATTTTTCCTCTCTTCCACCATTTTTTTACGTTTTTTTTTGTTTTATAGTCATACTCTTTTGAAAAAAGTCCATCCGTTTTTCGATTACGAAGTCTTTTTAGTGTGAGACCTTTACGCCGCCATTTCAGCTCAAACCACTATCTCTCTCCACGTTCAACAGCCAATTTCCAACCGATTTGGGTCTTGATGATGCTGATTGTCTCAGCTGCTTGGGAAGCCGTAATCCCGACTTAATGCCTGGTAAGAGGAAAAATACTCACACACACGCACCCACATAAAAATGCACGGTCGGGTGTTCTCATGCTCTCGCAGTGTTTATTACGGGATTCCCATATCGCAGTGTGCTGTTGGCCCGCACTTCTGCGTTTCTTTAAATGCAGGCAGTGGATAAATGAATGATTTCACTTACGATTTGTCCTTCTCGCTCAATCGTAATTTACTTTCTCATAGTGTTCTCTCCTTGGGCGAATTCACCGCGGGTCTTTGTCTCTCTTTTTATTCTTGTTGGACCTATTTTCTCGGTGTTTTGCCATTTTGTGAAATTTCTGGCGCACCGTTATGTTAGACAATGGATCAGCTTTAGATTTTAAAAGTCGACTTTACCAGCCCACTTCAAGGGTTATGCAGTGATTCTGGAGTCGCCAATGCAATGTCATACATGTGGTTAAGCTTTAATTTGTAAGGTGCGTTTGCATATGCAATGGAGGCGATCATGGTGGCTCTCACTAATCACCTTGAAGTGTTTTATTTCATCGGCCGGCTTTTGAATTATTCATCCTTCTTTGCTGGAGCACATTATCCACCCACTGTGGCCAGTGAAACTTTCATGCGGATGAATAAGTTACCAGCTTCTTTTGTATAGCGTTGGCTTTTTGCTTAAGAAGGAAAGTAGTAGTAATGTATTTTTGTTGTCTGTATAGTAACTCTCCGACTCGGTTTCAGTTCATCAATTTCCAGGGCATTTGTTTTGGTATCCAAATGACCGAACCTCGTCTAAGGAATACTTCAAGTATGTGAGAATATGTTTCCCAGTCAGTAAGGAATGGGGTCGATGGAGATCTAGATATATCTTGAAGTCTATCCCTTCTTGCTGGAATTGATGCATGAAAAAATCGCAAAACACGCTTTTTCTTATGCATGCGAACTTATTTAGTCAAGTTATTTTGATTTTGAATCATTTTGGGAGGTTCAATTGGGGTTGAAGTCATTTTTACCCACGATCTGATGTTCTGAAAAAAGGCCATTTCTACTCCCCAGCTGAACCAATTGTTCGAGAGAGCTGTGAGCTAAGTATGCTGACTATGCATTTACCATTTGAATGAGGGCGATTTTTAAAGAATATTTTTAAGGAATTTTTATATGAAATGTCTGTTAATACTGGTGGCTTTAAGCAGCAATCTCTTCGTACAGTAAAGGGCATGTTCAAAACCACACAGGCTTCATTACTCTTTTAAACTAGTTTAAGGCGCTACTTTTGCTCTCGATTTTTATGAAAGTTTCATTGTTACTAGTGCTTGTTTCTAGAGTCCTCATACTACTTTCTTGAAGTTGAAGACACCGAAAAATTTATCCAAATGCATTGTCCTTATTCTTATCTCACAAATAGTTTGCACTCACTGTGGCCTAAAACAGCTCTTTATCATTTTTTTTCTAAACTAACACTTCATGGGTGGTTATAATCCACATGATACTTCTGATTTGTTGCACATCTGTCCGGTTTCTGTAAAGCCACATTTATTACGCTAGATTTAACGGTAATCGGGCAGGAATCGCTGCAAATGAATGGGTCGCTGTGTTCTAATCCGGGTAGTCGTTTTGCGCACAAAATTTACCCAGATTTAATCTCCTCCGATTTCTGAAACAACCCGTTGCTTTATTCAAGAAGATCGGATTTTAGTGCTGATTAAATGTGAAGGTATATCATTTCTATAACCAAGTAACCTTGCTATGCACTGAACTGTTGATAGCATTTTATGCATTATTGCGAGACTTGTTTTCACTCCTGAGTGCGACCTTATCATTTGGACCATCTAGACAGTCATGCCAGTAAAGATATCAGCTACCTTCATCTAACAGTCATTGGCTTTACGCATACATGCTCAAGCGGACATGGGCTCTTTCTAATTAGAAAATTTGCGAACTTCAGGATTGTGATGGTGACACACCACTGCATGATGCAGTCTCTGGTGAAAACCTTGCTATGGTGGAACTGCTTCTGGCCAACCGGGCGGACCTTGCGATAACTAATAGCCTCGGACACAACTGCCTCCATCACGCCGCTATGTTGGGTAATCCTAGGTACGTCTTCACACCTCCCTGAGCACATTTTCAGCTGTTTTTGAAGCAGGCAGGCGTGTTTGCAGCCTTGAATTGTTTTGCTTGCTTGTATTCCTCTGCGCATATCTACATCTATTATTTAATTCGTTGCTTCTCTTGTTCCACTGAAAAAGTTCCTCTTAGCATAAAGTTCCGCTTTTTCGATACCACTGTTGATCTCAATAGGAACACTCGGGCCCCCTTTCTAAACCTATCTCTTAGTGTACAGTTTCCCTATTATAGGCTTGCTCTCCATACTAAGCCATTACCATGGTTCCCAAGCCCCTTTTCTTGCTTCAAACAATCCTTGTGGATTCATGCCAAAATTGTGTTTACGAGTTTTAAAGGAAGTCTTCAAGTTTCTACTTTAATTGCTCTAAAAACACAAGTTTTGTAAGAGATGGTATCGTTGAAAGAGGGGTATTTGAACCACTATTACATTTTCCTCTTTCAAATGGCGAGTGGATCTCGTCTCTATGCGTAGAGAGCCTATTTATTCCTTTCGAAGCCCCATTGTACCTGATTCTCTGGCAATGAATTTCGCAATCCACGAGCTGACACTTTGAAGTATCGTCGCCTTTTTTGCCAACAGAATCACTACTTCCCAAAAATCTTCCCTATTACTTGGAATTTGGAATGTGACATTTAAATGAGCTGTTTGTTAAGGCCTAAAAATTGCAGGGCCTGTGCGTGTAAGCATTTACTCGAGTCAGTGAACGCGGAGAATATGGTAAAAATAAGGCGTCCCATTCATTTTTCTTCTTATCACTGAAAATGATCATCGAATGAGGATGAAGCTACAAAAAAGGTGTACCATGGAAATAGGCAGTATTGATCAGTCCCACACAAAGTTGTAGACTTTGTCTATTTTTAGCGAAAAATATGGTGTTTTGCAGTTTATAAACTCGATATCATCCGCTCTTTTACCTTTCCATGGTTACTGTGTGTAGTTTATTTCTCATTATTCCAAATGTATCTGGTAATATGTTGACTTGCATAGGAGAGTGTTCCAGAAATACAGATTTTAACATGATGTAGGGAAAGTAACACTTCAAGGAATTGTAACACTTCAAGGAATTCCACCCTCCTAAATTATGACACACATTAGCCTTTACGGGTCTGTTTTCCTTCTTTTCAAATAGTTCAGATTTTGAATCACGCCATGAGAAGGAGTACTCATGGCACCACTCGCTAGCGCTAACTTTATCCGCTACGTACAGGTCCCCAAAAGCTGGGGGTGACTAGTGTGCAAATTATCCCCCAATTAAGCAGCATGAAATCCACCAGAAGGAAAAGAGGCTTTAACCCCACTTATTATCAAATCCACTCAGCTGCCTTGATCCGCGTATTCGTCGCGTATTTTGTGGCGGGAGACTGGGGTTAATCCCTCTATTCCCCACAGCTGCTTTATTTCAAAGTAACACCCAAATTACGTTAATAGGGCGTGCTACTCCTTCTCATCGGGATGAAGAGCACACTCGCTTGCATTGTGTAATAAGATTTACTACACTGTCAGCTGCATAGGCAGTCGAATGTGAAGGGAAAAAAGGCTACGAGGACGCACTTTTAATGTGATTTCCCGTTCTCTCCTTTTCCATTCATTCATTCATTTTCTGTGCAATTTGGATCCTCTGTATTGCCATTTGTCCCCTTATTTCGTGTAAATTAGTGCGTTTTTGTGTCCTGGTGCTTGTTCCACTACCTCCACATTGACGTTCTTCACTAATGAGTTAACTTGAGCATTTTCTTTGTCCACTTTAACCTCCTCCTGGACACTCGATCGATTTTTTGTTCAAAAGACTGCCTAATGCATCAAATGACACCCTTTACATTCATTTAGGCAACTTCAATTACGCGTATTCAAGCCAAATCAGAGCTTTTGGTTTGCGTGTCTGAATAAATTAGTAAGCCCATTGAAAAGCTCTCTAAAATTTGAGTCTTAAAATCAAGCTCCTTTGAATTTTATTCGTGGCTGCTTCCTCTCTGACTGAGCCTTTGATCTGTCCATACAGACGGTGATAAAATTGTAGGTCGATTTAACCGGGTTCCGGTTCTTTGGGTTAGTATTTGATATCCCCTTTCCTCAGTAATTAGTTGGTTAGGAAAATAAGCAGAATTACTCTTTCCTCAACACTAATTTCAACAAAAAGCGTGTCCAGGATTGCGTGCATTTATCAGTGGCTGGACAACCCTCGACCTTCGTGTTGAATTAACACTTCGATCGTTCTCATTCTCCTTTCGCCTGTCAGATGTTACTTAGCCGAACCACTCACTCGATAATGAAACAGCCTGTCCACTTCCTCTATCTCCCCTCCTTCCTTTACTCCTTTCACCCTCTTAATGAGACCACACATCTTTACATAAAAAAATTAAAACGAATTTTCTACAAGCTGAGGCTCTGTGGAATCCGCACAATTTGAGTCTCGCCTTTTCAATTTTGATTCATTAAGTGTTCTTTTTTCTTTCTGCTTCTAATTTTGGTTATTTTACCCTCTACGCCCAGTTAAGGCAGCAACAAGGCACAAATTTTTATTTTCTTTGTTGTAAGGGCTGTAAAATCAAAATTTTAACGGTGATGAAGATTCAAGCATAGGTACAGCTCAAGTTACACTTCATTGAGGTGTTCATGATCTGTTGTTAGCATAGGCATAAGTAAAAAATGCTGTCGAGAACCACTTCGTACACAAGTAATTTCAGTGCCGGCTTCCGCCCTATAATGCGTTAATTGTGCAATGGTGTATATTTACGGCAATCATGCATAAATTTTCGTTGTTAAGTGATGTACCGGTAAGTGGTGAAATATGGACAGTGTCGTTGCCGGACAATACCAGGCGATACAGCGGAAACACTTTTGCAGTTAATCTATCCCCTAACTTTGCCCTGCTTTGAAACACTTTTTATTCACAAGCTCCGTCTCTTTGAGCCTACGAGTTGCCTCGCCCCGTCCAAGTTTATTCAACTTTTAATGGAACCATGGCTTAGATATTTGAAGGGTTGAGAACATCGTTAGTTATCAATTTGGTAGTTAACGAAAATGTGAGATCTTTAAAAGTTCCTAGTGTTATCAATCTCGTTCACTATCTCCTTTGTAATTATCGTTTTGTGTCCCACATTTAATTACGAGAATGAAAAGGATTCGTTGTCGCTTATTTTTTGTTTTCCTTCACCCTATAGGCCTTTAATTAAGTACGGGAATCTGCATCATGCCTCTGCCCTTCTCCTCCTGCAAGGAATTTTATAGCCATACAATCCTAGAGAGGCATGAGTGTATTCAACAGCTAGTTAACGTTCTGTCCTTCTACTTAACATAATAATACCGTGCTGAGGTGACCAAAGCACTACTTTGGCCTAAGAAGCACGCTTAAGCAGGTTCCGTTATTGGAATGCTGAGAAAGGCAAGGCATATTTGTGTACGTGTGCACTGGATCGAGAAATAGTGCTGACGCTTCGTTTTGTGCTTCCGGCCAAATCAAAGTAATTGAATACTCCCGAATTGGAGACACTTGCTGGGTAAGAGAGAATTAGATTTCTTACACCAGGAAGGCCATTCCTTATCCGCTAGATCAAGTACGCGTCACTATTGGACGTTTTTTTCCGGTTTTATATTAAGAGAAATCTGGAATGAACACTTCCCTGTTTCGTTTATGTTTTTTTGCACAAACAATCCCCTTTTCTTAAAAGTACTTCTTTCAGCTAGATTTTCCGAAGGTTTAAAATGGGTTTACCAAAGATCGCTTTACGTAAGTAGAGTATGTAAGGGTGTATGTTCCAAAATATACTGTTATTTGGGCTTTGTATCTCTATGGCGGCATATTGGAAAGTAGGGAGATATCACTTATGAAATACACCCATATTTTAAATCTCATTTTGTTTATTTTTCAAACACAGAATATTATCGCTCTTTTTCCGTGCTCACCACGCCCGGGTGCTAAAGTTCACGACTTCTGGTAGATGTACTCGCCCCACTTTGATTGCTAAAGTAGCACGTAGAAAGCTAAAATGTATGACAATGGACTTCATATTCCTTGCTTGCTCACAACGCTCCACCTAGCTCAAGCTACGCGTCACAGGCGTTACCCGTCTTTTGAAGTGTGGCGAACCGTGGCTGAAGTTCACCCGTAATTATTTGTGTTTTCCTGTACACATTGTGTCGTTTTCAAAGCTCGTTGAGTGCGTCAAAGTGTGTAGGTGGTTGGGCGGAGGACAGAAACAGGCGGCTTACTGCCATTTGCTCCGGCCCTGGCAACCACTGTCGGCTGCATTGTTCGCTCCGACTTCTTGCTCCCTCTTATTCTCCTTCCCATTCTATCCACCTTTTAAAAAAACATGTTTGGAGTTTTCTTGTAGTCTTGCCTCATGTCTGCATTAGTTATAGTGGCAAATTAATTCCTTTACAATGCATCTACGATTTGCCTTCGTAATCATGAAATCATTCTAGTTTCCTTTAGACGAATGATGAAAGGAGTGATGGCTTCATAAAATACGATCTAAAAGCTCCGGTGTAATGCAGAATTCTGGGATTATCTTCTGTTTTGGCCAAAAGCCCTAATTTTTTTTTTGTAATATCTCTTCACTCGTACTATGCTCTTCACTTTGACGTGTGTAAGTGAGCTTTCGGCTCAGTCACTCATACTGATGGTGGCTAAATTTTTCAGCTGAAAGATTGTCTTGATTCAAGTGGTCAACAAAGTGACAAAATGCTTAAAAGTGCATAAATCCTTTTATTACCATCAAGCTATCGCTATTTGTCCATATTCTGGCTTTCCTTTTTAAGTTATTGACTCTCGAGTCCTCAAATGCGAAGGCCCATAAATAGCTAAGTATTTGTGTCCTGTCATTTTGTACACAGGTTTTTCATTAAGGAGCGTCACACTGTGCACCTCTAGCGCAACCAACCAGCTCTCTCGAACTCATGTCCGAAAGTCGGACGACTTTGTCCAAAATCCGTGACCCGCATCCTGACACAGATGGCATTACCCACT